AAAAAAAAAAAAAAAAAAATAGTATGAGATAGCATTGTTTTACTCGGCTCGCATCTCTCAACCGTTGTTGTTTTCCTCCTTTTCCCCCCTGCTCTTCAAAGATGAGAGATGGCTAATAGCGGTAGGGGTTCTTTGTTTAACATCTTGCAAATAGTAGAAGAATGTCATCATGTCATGTGTGCCGCACAACAGAGAAGCTAAGCAAATAAAAACAAAACAAAACAAACAAACGAACAAGAAAAAAGAAGAAGGATATTATCATCTCCAATTTTACTTTACACACAGACAGACAGACATACATATTCACAAACATGAAGTGAAATACCCCCAAATAAGGGTTCTGCTAAGCAATATATATATATATATATATATATGAAATGATTATTTTTTATTTCCTTTTTTTTTTTGATGTTACTGTTTCTCTCTCTCACACACAGATAGATGGATAGATAGAAAGAGAAACTCTAATAACTACAAAGACTTCATCTTTGCCATTAATGCCTCAAGCGATTCACTATTGTCTACAGAGACAAATTCCTCTTCCTTGTGAGTGCCAGTTCCCTCTACACCTGTACTGTAAGCATACTCAACACCACCACTATTATTATTATTATTATTATTATTATTATTATTATTATTATTATTATTATCTGCAGTCAAACCAGACTTCTGCTCTTGTGTATGGAGTGTTAAATCTTCTTTACCCTGCGCCTCTACTACAATACCCCACTCTGCTGCAGAGGCCGCTGCTTTTGCTCTTGCGGCTTCACGTTCCTTTGCCTCTCGCTCTTGCCGTAATTTTGTAGCTTGATAAAGTGGATGGGCCGCTTCTCCCATTTTTTCCCGCCGCTCTGCATATTCCCGCTGCCGCATCACACACGTCTCATTCCGACAATCCGGATTGGCTTTAATCGTAACAGATGGAAAGTGATCTCGCATCGCATCATAGCCAATATACTCACTCACCGTACCAAAGTTCAGTAAATACTTCAGTGTATTCTGTGCGAGAAAGCCAGCAACGATCCCCATCGTGGTTGGCAGAGAGGCCGCACAAACACCTTCACGTTTGGCCTCCGGCATTCCTGTAGCCACAACGAGTGGTGGACAACACTCATAACAGGGAGTAACACCTGGCAATAATAATTGAATATGTCCACTCACCGCATTCTCCGCCACTCCACTCTCCATCCAGGGAATATTAAATAGTAAACATGCATAGTTTACAGTAAGACGTGCTTGAAAGTTATCTACACAACATAATAATAAATCCACTGGTGAATTGGGTTGTACACCACCATTCTTTGTAAGAGCATCCACAAAATCTTGCCAATGATCTGTAGATGTGATGCTGAATGCATAAGGAACAATTTCCGTATCGGGATTAATACCCTCAAGTGTTTCTTTAGCTGCCGCCACCTTTGTCATTCCCTGTTGTTCTGGACGGTAGAAGAGTCGATTCATATTTGCCAATTCCACCTTATCATAGTCAAAGAGAAGTATCTTGGCAATACCGCAGCGGGTGAGCATCTCTGCCACCACACTGCCAACTCCACCGGCGCCTATAATAGCCACAGACTTTGTGCGAATGGCTTCGTAATTGTCCACAACTCCCATTCGCTGCAGTGCCATCAGGCGACTGTATGGATTGTCATCCCGCACAGTGGCGTCCAGTGTTTTTGGTCCCATCTTTTTTTTCTTTTTTTTCTTCTGAGTTGGTTATTGTATATATTCTTTTTTTTTTTGTTTTGCCTCTAAATTCTTCTCGCAGAATTATTCTACCCGTAGTTTTTTTCTTTGATGCTTTTTTCTTTTTTTTTCTTTTTTTTTATTGTTCACACTCTCACGAGGGCACACAACTGTGGGATAGAACACCACAAATTCATATACATAGAAATATAAAAGGGAATCAGAGTAAAGAAAAAGTAAAATAAATAAATAAATCATCCCAGCATAATATTAATAAAAAACAAATAATAAAAATAATAAAAACAGCACGCAACTTTTTATCATTTCTTTTTTTTTTCTTATTTTTCTACTCTTCTGTTCTTCCCATTCTCCCATATATATATATATGCAATGTATACAATTTTTTTTTTTTCGTTTTCTGTGTTCATCTTGTGAAGATTATTCGGGTTGTGTAGATGGCGTTGCTGGGAGTACAAGCATTGAGGCACAGCTTTCAAGAAAGCGTTGCAGATCTTCATCTTCCTCATCGTCATACATCTCTTCATTCGCCTCTTCAGCAATTTCCCGCATAAAGGCATTAAAATCAAGTGGGTGTCGAGCGTTTATTGGACTCTCTGCAACACCATTTAGTGAAGACAACTGTGGCCACTGTTGTTGTTGTTGTTGTTGTTTTTGTTGATTCTGTAAAGGAGCACAAGAGGAGGTATTCGTTGCAGCCACAAACGATGGTGATTTTCCCACATTACCGGTAGTAGTATTAATAGTAGTATGAGTCGTATGAACAGAAGGTGAGATGTGTTGATGTAGTGGAGATGCACTCACATCTTCTCTCCCTTCACGAGATCGTTTACTGTGACTGCGTTGTGTAATGATGCCCCCACCCTCTGGAGTTCCCTTCATCACTATAGCCCCAACAGAAGAAGATGAAGAGAGTCGGCAGTTCTCATGAATGGGAGTAGTGGTACTCGCATTCACCATGGATGGTTCGTTGGTATATTCACTACGGCCTTGTGTGGGAGATGCGGCAACTAATACATGTGGAGGAGAACTGGCAGATCCTGCAGCGTAATCCAATTCCCCCATTGTAGTAGTAGTAGTAGTAGTAGTACTACTACTAACAGTATTCATATTAATATTCGTATGAGGAGGATGTTGATTAGCAGAAGGCATAGTAAGTGCTGTTAATAAATCACGAGCGGTCACAGAGGATGTCTCTACAGTCTTTGTGGCTGTAGGAAGTACATTCTCAGATGGCATCACTGCCTCACCACAGGTGGTAATGGATGGATCACTGCATAAGTTCTCACTACTCACACCCATCACAACAGCATCCTCTGCAGAAGTAATAGCAGTGGAGTTGGTAGATCGTCTACCAGAGGTTCTGTGATGTTCACTATTCTCTAATGCACTCTGTGGGACATCAAAGGCGGCGATATACATTGAGAAAGTCACTTGAAAAGGCTGTTCTACTGGTATAGAGTGTTTGTGAAATAATGCCTGTGGAGCCACAGTAGTATTATAATTATGATTATGATTATTATTATTATTATTATCTGTAGTGAAAGCCGATGAATGAATAGCGGCATTAGATGTAGCTTGACGGGCTTCATCTGTTGTAATAGCTTCTAGAAAGAGTGGAAGTCCCTCTTCACCAGAACGAACACGAATCATCATTCCAAGTTGATCTGCCAGCATACAAACTTGTTTAAATGGTCTTACTTCAATAATTTTTCCTGGTAATAACATTGTTCTTCTTACTATCATATTCTTCTCACCATCTTGTAGTTGTTGTCCTTCTCCTTGTTGTTGTTGTTGTTGTTGAGAATGCATCTGTACGAAAAGAAAGTGTTCATGCGATGCTACTACCATTGTCTCTGCGGCTCCATTCTTATGCGCATCTAATGATGGTTGAGCCCCATTCCCATTATTGATATCAGCATCTGCGAGAACCCACAACTTAAGACCCGATGGAAGAGGCTGCAGCACAACTCGCGGTGTGGATTGTGGAAAACATCCCAACAGTGCACCCCACTCTCTCGCAGCCGCACAGGCATCGAAGATAAAACGATCGGGAGGAACAAACGCCCGTTCGGGTTGTCCCTCCGCTAGTGGAAGTGCAAACTTCTTTACAATTCCACAGGACATCACACATTCCCATTGAAGAGTATCACAATTGGATTCTCCCATTTCATCACATTGTGTGGTTCCATCATAGTGAAGATGAATAGCGGAGAGACCTTGGGCTTGTCGTAGTACAGTAGCCATTAAGGCTTTCGTGGGCAATAATAAATGAAACTCTGTCTTATCATTTCCCTGGACATCCGTTAAATCTGTATGATCTATATCTGTAGTAGAATCTCTCCTATTAGGACTCTCATCATCATTATTATTATTATTATTATGTTTGTTGTTATTATTACTACTACTACTACTATTATTATTATTATTGTCATGTGTGTGATGACCACTGTTTCTCTTACAGCGGTAGGCCTCAAGATGAGAGGCGGCTATCGTAACAAGGAAGTGCGTACTGCGACTGCTGTTAACAGCACGAAGGAGCAGCACATCATTGTGTGGCTCAAAGAAAAGACCATCACCCTGTTTAGCTGCGGTTTGCAATAACTGCACAAAAGGTCGCAGGAAGACCCCTGTAACAGAGAAGCTAAGGAACATCAACACTATATTTTTTCTATTTTGTTTCCTTTTCTTGTATCTATCTATCTATATATATATATATATATATATCGATAGATAGATAAAGATATATATATCTATGATTGCTTTCTCTTGTTCTTCTTCTCGATGTGTACTATGTTGAACCCCTCTTTCTTTCCAATAACATAGAATTTAGATAACCAACACACAATGGACCCCCGCAGAAAGAAAAAGAATAAAAACAAAATGGGAAAAAAGAAAAGAAAGAGTAACGTACTGAGGCACCTCCACCTCCTCTCTGCATATAAGTGTTTTTCTCTGATCTCCCAAGTATGTAAAGAGAAACTCCTTTTCTTTTTTCTGTTTTTGTTTTCGCTATGCACGGATTCTTCTCATATTGTACTAAATAAGAATATCGTACTATTGCCTCTTTTCACTCTATCCTCCCCTTCTTCATAAACACTCATCTCTTTCCTCACTTACATACTTTACCATCTTTTTCTCCTCCCACGCTAAGAAATAGGGGGGAATCACGGCAAATAATAATAAAAAAAAAAAGCAACAACAACAACAACGACAGCAGCAGCATCAGCAACAGCAGCCAACGCAAATAATAAAAATAATAATAACAATGGTGATAATAATAATAATAATAAATCACCTCTGGTCAACACTAGAAAGATTCTTTTACCACATGTGTTCCTTCCTAAACTGAATATAACAGAGTACCCCATTTTCTATTATTAATGGAGTAACAAATACTCATATAAATATAAATATATATATATGTAGTAACGTTGATAGTATTATTTGACCTGAGTATCATCGTCTCCAGTTCACATTTTTAGCTTCTTTCGAATCATCCTTCACATCCAATGCAGGACCCACACGTGGGGTTGTGGGAGATGCCATTCGTTTAATTTCCTTGGAAGCATAACCAGGATTAAGAAACTTTGGACACGTAATAGTGCAATTGAAAATATTATGACAGAAGTTCACCAATGGGCCGTGTTCAAACATCTTCACACGACTGTCGTAATCGCGATCCAGTGGCTCAATCAACCAACGATACGATTGCAGAAGAACTGCCGGGCCGAGAAATACTTCTCGATTCCACCAATACTGTGGACAACTTCCCGTACATGAGGCACAAAGTACACACTCATAAAGTCCCTCCAGTCGGTTTCTATTACTGCTGTGCACCTTCTCTTTTAAATACCAACGACTGACGGTGTAGGGATTATCCGAGAAGCCTGGCCGCTGAGTGACGACGTGAAAAGCCGTCTTGCTGTTATCTTTTGCGGTGAAGACGGTAGGGGGTTTGGGGGCGGCGTTCTTCACAATACGGCGGTACATAAAGAGAGGGCTGCTGAATCGGACCACTTCTCCTGCAAGAGGTGCAGAGGGCATTTTGCTTTTTTGTTTATTTCTTCTGTTTATTATTTTTTTTACCTTTACCTGCTTTTTTTTTGTTTTTGTTTTTCTACTATCTTTTCAAAATATTCCTATATTGTTTTTTTTTTTCTCTTTTTCTTTCTTTTATCGTGCCTATAATATAGTTACCAAGTGTGCAAGGTGAGAAGAGTGGTGTAATAGTTTTCTTCTTCACACCTCTCTCCCTAGGCCACACGCGTTTGTAATGATCGCTAAGTGTGTTTATTTGTTTTCCTTTCCATAAGAGATTGTGGTAAGGGGAATTAAAAAAAGAAGAAAAAGAAAAAAAAAAAGAATAGGCATTCAGATACATATATATATATATACATACAAACAAAAAAAAAAAGAAAACGTTATCATTACACGAACAGAGAGCTCGTGTTGGTATTGTGTGGGTATTTTTTTTTTTGTATTTTGTTTATTCATTTCTTTTTCTCATAACGTAGTCCTATTCCCCAACTGAATATGAGTTAGTGAGTGAACAGAGAGTACAAATAAAATAAGGAAAAGAAAAAGAACAAACAAATATTTTTTTTTTGAAATAAAACAATAAAAAAGAGATGAAAAGTAAATAACGGAACGAGTCACGTAAAAGGCATAATAAGAAGAAATAAATAATAATAAAAACATATATATATATATGTAGTAGTATGACGGCACACCATATTATTTTCTTCTATTTTTATTTTCCTTTACTCACACTCCATACACATACATATATACTCATCCTCTCTCTCTCTCTCTCTTTCTCATTCTCTCTCTGTCAGATGAGTTTTTTTTTTTTTTTTCTGTGTATGTTTTTTCTTTCTTCTTTCTTTTCGTCTACCAGTTCATACGGTGTGGCACATCACCTGGCATGATGGTGAAGACGGAGTGAAGATATCCGGCCTTTTCTTTACCAAGAGGATCCCTCTTGATCGCCTCAATGAGCGCGGCATCCACCTTCTTCTGCAGCTGTGCGCGGGCATCACTGACGGCACCCTTCGCTGCTGCCTTTGCGGTCTTCTTGGCCTTCTGCTCCGCTGCCTTCTTGGCCTTATCACCCATGAACTCGCCCTCCGACTTCACTCGCTTCTCCTGCTTGGGGCGCTGGAAGAGTTCAGCGGTGATGGCGCTGGTGTCCACGTTCTTCATATCGACCTTTGTGGAGGTGGCGATGATGTAGCGGGAGTCAATGCGGCGAATCGGCACTCCGCTGTACTTCATCGGGCCCGAGATGACCAGTGGGCCGTTGCCGGGCAACTGCTTGAGAATCACCGCGCGGCGGCCACGGAAGCGGCCTGCGAGAATGATCGCAATTGTGCCGGGCGAGCAGCTCTTGCGGAGCGTGCTGTACTCGGGGCTCTTGCGGCTGATCTTCTTAGCGACCTTCTTGGGGGCCTTCTT